TTTTTTTTTTTTTTTTTGCACAAATCTAGTTGGTCTAATAAAAGCTATCACCTCTGCCATGAGTTCCAATTCCTTTTGCCTCTAGACCAATACAGCTACAACCTAGATACCTAAACCAAGTTCAGGCACTTGATAATAAAGTCAATGCTGCCATCAGCGGCTTATTGATATAAGAAACTTAATGAATGCATGAAAGTAAATAATGTAAACCAGTGATTCTCAAATGTTTAAAAGCAATTTTTTTCTAAGGTGGAGGTGGGGTCAGAAGGAAAGACCACAAAGTCTTATAGGAATTCTTCAATCATATTATCTTAATTGCAATTTTTAGCCTGAACTTTTGTTTGCCAAATTATAAATGTGTGCTACAAAATCAGAGTGCCAAAATTATTAGAGCCCATCATGTAGTCAAAGAGATCATCCTTCTAATAATCAAGAATAATTATTTGCCCTTTTTGCCCAACCAGATATATAAGATCAATAACTATTCATCAGATAATTATTACTATGTTCACTGTTTTTAAAATATAATAATAATAATTTGTGGTGGGCTTGATCCAAAATCCACTCAAGTCAAAGCGACTCTCTCTCTTGATTTCAGTGGACTTGGAATAATCAGTTATATTGACCAATCTATACTTCTTGGTCATCAGCACTGAAATTCACAAAAGACGTCACCATGGAATTCTGGGACCTAATTTAGACTCCCAAATTTTAATTCAGATTCCCTCACTTAATTTTTATCTGTTATAACTGGGGTAGAATATGGTTCATTGTGTTTCGAAGTTTTCAGTAAATTACAGGGCATATTCTTTTATAGGCTTATTTAACAGCTTGGTTTTAAGTAGAACAAACAGGATGTGGCACAGCTGGTTCTTATTTTAAATGTCAGCTACTATGACTATACTGCTGTAGGTGTGCACACCTCTCAAAAGTAATTAATCTATTGGAAAGTACTGAATAAGTAAGGCAACACCTAGCCAATGTAGAAGTCAATATTAGAATTGTAGGTACCTGTAAACATTCAGAAGTCACTGT